CACTGCAAACACTCCCAGATTATCAGCCTCTCTACAATGACTCCACACACAAGCTAAGCTAATGCTGCTAGCTGCTGCCCGATCAGTACATCACCTCATTTCCGGGTCACCCGCGGTGTATGTAAAATAAATGTCCCTTCTGCCATAAAAAAAAGTAAACGAACTAAACTATAATGTTTTAAAGATTGATAGTGTGTTTATTGAAAATAAATGCTGTTGAGTATATTGTTTAAACGCTCTTAGACTCTTATTTTGGTAACGTGTGTATTTCCGTTTCCGCAATGTGTGCTGCTATGTTCTAGCTTGTTTAGAAGTTCGAATAAATATGGCATCCCTGTGCTACTACTGCAATTAACCTCAACAAAGGCATTAAAATCCTATTAGTTTTTTTTTTCTTTTTTTATTGAACAAAATACAATAATATACATTTTCAAGTAGGAATCTCCACTTTTCTTTTCCTTTCCGTTTTATCAGGTTTTATCTGTTGCACTTATCTCAATTTATTTACTTTATTGCTGATAGGTCTTTTTTGTTTGTTTGTTTGAGCAAACAAGTAAGGTAATAGCAACAGTACAAATCTGAGGAAGACATAGTAGAGGCAGATTCAAAGCACAAAGCTTTATTGATAAGAAACAAAAAAATAAAAATAAAAGGAATGGCTGATAATAATGAAATAATTATTACCATGGCAACAAGGGGGTTCATGTTAGGATTGATGAACATCGGTGGGAAAACCCATCAGTGTTTCAGTCAGGTATTCGTATGATTCGATACATTTAAGAGATTTCAAATATAACTTGAATTCAGATTTAAAAAGATTGGGGATGATCTCAACACTCTTTGTTTATGAATGAAGAATTTAGCTAAACACAAAATTAGGTTACAACAGAGTTCTATTGTTTTGTTTTTCAATAATATTCGAAAAGTTACCATATCTCTGGAATAGAGTAATGCAATATTTGATTTGATTCTAAGCAAATCCAAAATGTTTTAGTCTGACTGCATTCATAGAAGACATGGTCTATAGTTTCTATATCACTTTCACAGAATGAGCATTTATTGTCATCAATATTTAAACCAATTCTTAGTAGTTCTTTTGAGGGGTAGATGGCATTTAAAATTTTAAAGTGCGTTTCTTTAGCTTTTGGTTGTATGGGGAGTTTTAGATAAAGAGTTCTCAGTTTTTCTATGATTTTTTCACAAATTTGCAAAGAATGTTATTTTTATTTATTTTCCCAGGGAATAAAGTTTCTTTTAAACAGTTCCTAATTTTGTGGTTATTGAATTTTTGGTCCGTGATTGATGCTCCATTAATAGATAAATTGGGTAGTTCTGGGGTCATTGGATGATTTGTTATTATATTTTTCATCTGATTAATAAATTGTTATGGTAAGGCATTAAGTCATCTGGTAAATTCAGCTTTTAGAGTGAAGAACTGATATTTTGCACAAAAATGTTTGCAATTTAACATGCAACCATTGGTATCCATTAAGTGTATAATAGACCAAATATTTTTCTCCATTCACTATTTGTAAAATAGGGATTTATTGCCATGTAATATGAATCTATTATTCCACATGATAGAGGAATGTGGGGAGTCGTTATGAACATATTTCATTTTCCAGTAAAGTAACACTCTGAAAGTTTAATGGCCAATTTATGGATATCAAAATCAGCTAGGAGTACAAGTTTGACACCACCTATTTTGTTAAATATATAATTAGGAACACAATACCAGAATATGATAGGCTGTTGTTAGTACACAATGCTGTGAGGTCACCAGTCGCCATATTGGTACTCCCTAGTTAGACCGGTCAGAATGTAAACATTGTGTGTTTTTTTAGTTTTGAGAACACTGGATCCGTATCCTACACAGTACAGACTAGCGATGGACGCGTGATGACACGTCACGTCGACCAGGTTCACAAGCGTCACGCATCATCGAACGAGATGTCCAGGCCTGAGGTGAGAGGAGAGCCTGACAGCCTGCAGTTGCCAGAGCGAGCAGTTGAGGTCGTGCCTGCAGCTCGGACGTTCCAACTTCAGTAGGAGGGGAAGTGCTGAAGCAGCCCAGGTTCATCCTCCAGCTGAACCAGAGACAGGAGCTCAACAGACACCTGTGCTGCAAAAATCTGCGCGAACCAGATGGACTCCTGCTTATCTGAGAGATGTTGTTAGTTAGAAGTTACATCCCTTAAGAAAGAGTCAGAATACGCTCTGGGATATGCACTGGAAGGTTTGGCAGTCTACCGTTTAACAAAATTTGTCATAAGAGTTATTTAAGTTGATTGTTGGCATTCGACCTTTAATCTTGAAAAGAAGTAAAGTAAGTAAAAAAGTTATTTTAGATTGAGTATCTATGTAATTCCACTGTTATAGCCAAAGGGAGGTTAATGTGAAGGTGTGAGGGTCCTTCCCTCTGCTTGGGTTTATTTTGATGTGTATTTGTTTTCTGTGTCTTTGTAGTTTAGTTCTACCATTGAGTTATGCTGAGTTCTTTAATTGTCCTCTGTTGCTCCCTGATGCTTTTTTCCCCTTTCCTCTTGGCTTCCTCCCAGTTGGTCCTGCTCACACCTGCTGCCTATATCAGCTCATTAGTCCTGCCATCCTTCAGTCAGCCATGAATACTCTCCCAGTGCAGTCCCTCAGTGCTGGTTCCTCGTCTTTCTATGGCTCCTTGTGCTTGGTTTTCCCTGATGTCGCTGTGGTTCTGGTTTGTTTAACATTTTAAGTTGGATTTTTGGATTCCTGCCTCTTCTCTAAACGCATAATAGCTTCAAGTCTGGCATTGTTATATACCTGGGTATTTCCATCTTCCTCAGCTGACTTCACTTTCTTCTCTGTTGATCTTCATCTTCGAAGGAGTTCTATTCTCGTTCAGAAGCGCCTTTATCTCAGGGTTGATCCATGGTTCAATGTTTTAGAAGTGACAAATCTTTCTGCTAGGCACAGTGTTGTCCACACAGAAGTTAATGTAACCTATGATGCAGTCTGTGAATCTATTGATGTCCTGTTGATTAGGAGCACAGAGATCTTCACACAGTGTTGGAGAAACAGTCCCTCAGAGCTTCTTCAGCTTCCACAGACCATCTCATCACTGTGCGTTTATCAGCTGGTTCTCTGTGCACCCTTCCCTCCCCTGGAGATGAACCACTCCAGAAGATAAGGGTTGCTTCCTTAGTGTTGGCATTCAGTAGATCCAGTGTTTTACTGTCTCTGGTCTGGCAGGTAACATACTGTGTGAAGTGGGAGTGGGTGGAAGACAGGGAGACAAGGTTAAAGTCCCCAGAGATCAGAAAAATAGCCTGTGGGTGCTGAGTCTGCTGGTGGTAGTGTGCAGGACATCACAGACAGTTGCTGCATTAGCGGGGTGGGGGGGTGGCATACACAGCTATCACTATAACGTGTGTAAATATCCGGGGTAGTTTGGCCTCATGCTTGCTGCTAACAGCTCACTGTCTTTGCTGCAGAGCATCTCTTTAATGGTTCGGTGTTCAGGGTTACAGTCTGGAACAGAGTAGCGAGGATACTTCTGATTCTATGGCCACTCAAAGAATCGGCCTTCAAGTTCTGCCATCATTTCTAAAATCAGAGCTATGGTATGTAAAATATGCTGGAGGAGATTCTTGGTCACCAGGTCGCAGTCGTTCCAAACACAAACAAACAAGAACACACAAAAAAACGCTGGACTTGTTTTCAAAGTTAGAAGAATTTCTCTTCCCATCCAGAAAGCTTTCTCAATTGAAAATGTCTGCAGCAGTGTGGATCACCAGGCTTTATAGAATAGCCAAACAAAAGCCTTGTTATGGCTTACAAGACATGGAAATTGATCCAAAAGAGTGGTTAAGGTCGACGTTGGCCTGCAGGTTAAACAGAAACTGGCTAAGACTACTCCAGACATTTTGAACAGAGAAAGCTTTCTGGATGAGATGCAAAATATCTTAAAATTTAATAAAAAAGAAAAAAAAAAAGGCCAGTGATTTTGTTTTTAATCTTTCTTGTAATGTTCGGTGAACAATGTTCATTGTGAATTGTTTAAAATTGAGAATTGAATTTTAAATCAGGTAAAATAATCAGTGACTGAGTTTTAGTGGAAAGAGGAAAAATATGTCCTGACTATATTGGTGTTAGAACTGACAGACAGATACTTTATTAATCCCTGATATAAAACAATCAGATCAAGAATTTATTTTGGTCAAACGGGTTTAAATAGAACTTTAATTAAATTAGGGAAACAAGCTACAGGGAAATGAGATTTCATGTTTTATTTTTTTTGCATCAGAGAAATGAACTGCCAACAAATTACAACTAAAAATGTAAGACCTTTTAGAAAAATATTCTAAATTGGAGCATTATTCTTAAGTTACTGAGATTTAGTAGTTTTTTTTTTTTTTTTTTTTTTTTTTTAGTGTTATTTGAATCCCGATCCACACTCCAGTTCAGTTGGTGGCGCTAATGCACCGAAAGTTGCTCTCTAACAGACATTTAGCAGAAGAAGAAGAAGAAGCGGAAGTTGCGTCACTGGCAGCTAGCAGTATTAGCTTAGCTTGTGTGTGGAGTCATTGCAGAGAGGCTGATAATCTGGGAGTGTTTGCAGTGAGAATGTCTTCAGTCCAGCTTCAAGGAGAGTTTATCACCGAGCAGTTAACTCCTGCTGAAGAAACATTCACGGAGTTTAAAGGGAGTTTGGTCAATTCGGAGGAAAAGATGGACGATCAACATCTACTGCTGGATTTCACCAGGATCCCCCAGATCATCTCACACCGGATAGGTAGGAAACACCTGATAGAAACGATTCCCTGATGATGCACACTGTGGATTTTAGCCTCATCTGATTGGAAAACTGCTTAGAGGAGATCAAGATGCTAAGCTAGCTAACTTCCAGTTTTGAGAGTAGGTGCCCACGGAGCACTTCAGTAAAGTTAAAGATATTCACAGATTCAAACCAACTCTTCTCTGCTGCCCCAGTGAGCAGATCTTCATCTGCATTTTAAACAGCATCACAAAGGAGAGGTGGATTATTATCAAGTTTAATTTCTGTGTATCTGATCTCATGTCTTTTATGCTACATTTATTGGACTGGAAAATAATGCTTTACATTTTCTGTGGAATTCCTCAAAGCCTGAATGACAGAAACATTCATTAAAGTAGGATAGAAAAGAAATCAATGAAAAATAACAGTTTGCCCTGTAATTTAAATAGATTTGGATAAAAGGCCTTCATTATAGTCAGGTTTTTTCATTTAGATAATACCTACACTTTCACTATTGTATTATTAGAATAAGAATAAAATGAGCAATAACTACACTATATTGCCACCAAAGGTAAAACACACATAGATAACCTCATCTGGATTATACTACAACTTTTACTTTGGGAAAATTAACTTAAATCTATTTTTTTTTTTAAGATTCTTTCACTCTCATTATACGTATCTTATCACCAATAACCACAATAAAGATCACTGTAGTACCACCAAACTTGTTGGATCTGGATCATAATAAAACTCCTACTTTGTCATTGCAATCAATTAATCAAACGTTGCAATCCAAATTTCAGTTTAAATAAGAGCTTTTGTTTTTCGGCTGTGTGATGGTTTAATGTGTCGATTCTTAAAAGCAAGAAAACAGCAAAGATTCCTGGAAGCTGTTCTATAAAACGTCGGTCCAAGGTTTTCTTAGTTTCACTAAACCTTTTAGAGGAAGCATTATTTTTTCCATTTATCTTTGTTTATTTTTAATAGTAAACATTTCTCCATTGTTTTTTTTTGAGCCAGCGGTTCAGTTTTTACAGACATTTTCTCTACTTTTTCTTCCTTTTCAGTGTTTTTCAGGTCTTTCTGTGCGACATCATCATCTGATTCAGATTTCTCTGGTCTGTGTTCTGTAGTTTGCCTACTTCGGTCTGTTGAAGGTCCTCATCCGTGACATTGCTGTCTGTCCTGACTTGTTGATCTTTTTTAGTATCTTGAAAAACTGAAGTTCTATACATTAATTCATCTTTGTCTTCCTTTCTATCTTTTTTGTTGTGAGCTCATCAAATCACTGACTCCTTGCCGATTTTTCTCCATAAAACCCAGAGCCAATGGCAATTTTTGCTATCATCCTCCTCCACTAATCTTCTACCGGCCCAGCATTGTCCGGTTTCGATGACTGAAGCCATGATTCAGTCAGGATGATGGCGCAGCATTAACTACACTCCTTTTTTTTTTAAAGAAAATTGAAGTTGTAGGTAATCCTTTTTCTTACCCAGTGAGCGGACATTGGAAAGAAGGATCGATTCTAATAGCGGTCTTTGGGGATTCCTTCTTAGCGTTGCCATTAGCCCGCCTCTGCAGCCCCTCTTGCACATCATTTCCTCTGGTTCTCCTGGCGTGGCCTGGTCCGTCCGCTAGCTGCTTTGTTTACATTCATCCGAAGCACACAGCAGCTTTTTAAACGGTCAACAGTGGCTGCATCTAAGAGGCTTCGCAGCATTCGATGCAGATCCCTAAGCAGCCTCTTCCTCACCGCCATCAGACGGCTGAACTGTTCAGAAAACTCTTAATCACATCACAGACTCTGCATCGCACTGATAACACCAAACCAAAATTCTGCATATTTGCACCAAATATTTAATGCTCTGAACTTCCACATCAATTCTTTTTTGTCTCCCACATTGTTTATATTTGATCACTGCTGCACTTTATGGAATGGAAATGTCATGAAAGCTGTAAAAAACTAATTTTTCATTTTGTATACTGTTGTGAGGGATTTGCACAAACCAGTCAGAAAACCACTGAAATTTAAAAAAAAAAAGAGTCTTAATTTAATCCAAAATGTTCAAAAAATGACAAACTGGGCCCAAAAACACATGTTAACAAAACAGAATTCAATTCAGGCTTTAACATAAAGAACTCAAACACAAACTGACCGAAAAAACAGGACATGAGGGAAACTTAAATAGTGGCTGATCAGACCACTGTTGACACACAGGGGGGGTAACTGACTAACAAACTAATAAACAAATAAACTTAAACAGATAAATACTGGCCAGACACTAAATACTCTTTAAATTTAACTAATTAACAAAATTACCCAAACTAAGAATATTTAAACAAGTGATAAACAAATTTCCCTTCCCATTACAAATGGTTTGATCCGCTGCTTAGCCTGCAACCAATGGAGGAAAGCTGGAGCTCACTGCAGCCCTCCACCAGCAGATCCCAAGGAAACTGGCAACTCAAAGAAGAAAGAAATGAATCAATTGCATCTTGACAAAAAAAACAACCTGACAGATAAAGTTAACTAAATGTGTGCGCTGCAAAAAGTTAACTTAAAGTCAGGCTAATGAAAATATATGAAATGTGCAACTGATTTTGAAAATGAAAAATGTTAAAGTTACCACACAGCTTCAGAGTGTGACAGCAGGCTGTGTATACGAAATGGCAATAAAAGGCGAATAAGTCTATCAGTTTGGTGATATTATTGTTTGCTCAAAGGTAAATTATAAAGAAACAACGGCTAAATATTAGGAGTAGAAGCTTTGTCTTATGCAGAAGGTCTCCAATAATGTAAATAAGCATATTATTCTGGCCAGATTCCCTTTTATGGGCGGAAAAATGCATTTGGCCACTTTTGGCACCACTGTGTTAAAATCACATTTCTGCCTAACACACAGCCCACTAAAACCTTTGTGCAACAAACATGCTTCAACTTATTCTGTCCAAATTTTCTTGAGTTGTAGTTAAGATGTGTTTCTATAAAGTCGGAGGGTTTCAAATGGGGTTTCATTTTTCTCTTTGTTTAATCACTTTAAATCAGACATGGTGACATTTAAAATAGTGATTCCACCTGAAAAATGTTCCTCGGTGCCTTTTTGTCATACAAAACACAAACAATCATATTTCCAATTTATAGTTTGGGAGCTGTACTTGTTTTAATTCACTTATGTAATTTCAGGCAGAATTTGCTCTTAAGACTCTGAGCTTTAGGGGTTAATTAATATTTTAGCCATTCAGGCTTTGGGGAATTCCTAAAAAAATGTAATGTATTATTTCCCAATCCAATAAATATAGTAGGAAAGATGTGAGATCAGATGCAAATGATAAAAATCCACCTTTCCTTTGTGATGCTGTTTAATATTTCTCTGTGATAATTTTTCTGGTGTTGCAACATGCAGATGACCCTTAATCATTTGCAGACCGGCAAACTCTGCATAAATCTAATGCAATTTTCCCAGCGTGGCCGGAGACTCGTATAGAGGAAACTATAAATGTATCTCACTTCCTGCCTTGCTGTGGATGCAGAGAGATGTCGGTTTTGTAGAAGAAATGATCCGCCGACAAGTTATTGATCCAGAGAAGCTGAATCTGTAAATATCTTTCTAACTTTACCGAAGTTCATGGATAAAAACCCTAAAAGGCTAAAGTCTGCATCATGTTTGGTCATTGCAGCTTTTCAGGCTTAAACTCTACTGTTCCATGTTGTTTCTGATGCTTAGAATCCAACATGGAGGCTTTTCTGATCCCTGATTAGATCTTATTGTCTTTCTCTGACCTCACTGTGGAATCAGAGCTGAAACTGGCTTCAGGTGTTATTCCAGAAAGAGCATCCCCTCCCTCTGGAAACGCGATTTGCTCTAATCTCTCACTAATTGATGATAAAACTGGGTTAATTTTCACCGTAGAGGAAACTTTGGACCATATTCTTAATGTTTCGATGGTTCTTATCTATGAATTTAGTTAAAGGGAGAGCTTTGGTTGGTAAAAAGATTTGAATGAATATGATTTTGACCCTTTTGTGGAGACACCTTTGAGTCGATGTGTTTGAAAATTCTCTGCTTCATGGATAAAATTTACAGCTTTTTCTATAAACTATATTCTACATCAGAGGTCTTCAGCAGGGGGTCCATGGAGGTACTGCATGGGGGTCGTGAAAGTTTTGGTTGATTTGATTTTTTTTTTTTTATATTCCTCCCTGAGATTTTTTCCACTAATTGAAATGTCTTTAAATCCACATTAACATGAATTCAACACACTGTAGTAAACAGATAAATGGAGGCAGAAGACGTCTTTCAGTCATCAATGCACACATTCAGCGACACACAGGAGCTCTTTCAAGCTGGGCACTGTTTCATTCACAACACCTGTCCCATCATACAGGAATCAGAAATACCTGTAATCCCTCCCCTCCCAGGGAGGGATTACTTTAGTTACATTACTCCATCTGTAATAGAGCGACTATAGGACCAGTTTGATAGAACACTATTTCACATAATTATGGGTCCCCGCTCCATCTCGCGATCAGTTTGGGGGTCCTTTGCGTGGAAAACGTTGAAGACCTCTGATCTACATAATATCTAACAGTTTATTTCTGAAATTTAAAATGCTAAAGCTGCTGATCTCAATTCCCTGCCTTTTTTTAACCACTATTCCCCTGTTTTGTGAAGCTGACACCCCACCAACTTGCTCCGCTCTGAGTTCGTTGGAGCTCAAGCAGAGCATACACAATATTAATATTTGTTTATTTATAGGAGCACAATATGAGGCGGTGAACGCTTAATTTAAAATTATGATCTAATTAATACACATCTGTCCAAACCTTGCCAGATGGCAGAGCATTAACCAGTCTGTTATATAACCTGTTGATTGTGGCGTCAGAGCTGCAGTGCATGCTGGGAGATGTAGTTAGATCAACAAGAGGGTGATTAAAGTGAAGTGTCCTTTCTTTAACCCACAATAGAACGTCTTTCTGCTGTTTGTCTTCCCAGACCGCCTGCAGGAGGAGAGGAATTCCAGTTTGGATCAAAAGGAACCAGAAGCTCTGCAGATAAAAGAAGAGCAGAAAGAACCAGAAGATCCCTGGACTAAAGAGGAAACCATGGAGCTCCCCATAAGTGAGCAGGAAGAGCAGCTGGTTCTGAAGCAGGAAGCTGAAGACACAATAGATAAAACTTTCCCATCTTTGATATGTGGAGAAAACTGTCTGAAGAAAGAAGATTTAATGGATCATATGAGGGCTCACACAGGTAAGAAGATTTATGTGTCTGACCTGTGGAAAGATGTTCACATGGAGATCTAGACTTGATTCACATTGCTACCTCCAGCAGCTCATTTAGATCCTTAGATCCATTTTTTTTGCATCTGGGCCACATATTTAACCTGGCATAAGCTTAAGATTGAGACACGTAGTTAAATTCAGTTCCTTCACCGTATCAATCTGGTTATTGTTCCTTAGAGAATGTTAGCAAAAGGAAGGACATTCAGTACACTTCTACAAGCTGATTGGGTATCTACCTCCCATTTCCAGCTTTTAGCCAATCATAGCAGCTGAGACGTATCCGATTCTTGATTTTTTATTTTTTTTTTCTTAATGTTAACTGATAATCAGATTCTTACCGAATCCAGTTGAGAGGAAAACGCAAACATATTTTCCATCCACACAGGCAAAAACTGTGTCCTTTTGGTCATTTTTCTAAATTAAATGGAGGGTAATCCAGCTAAAACAGGAGCAGACATTTTTTTTTGCTTCAGCGTTCTGCCTTTCTGTTGTCTTCATACACGTTATTGCATTTGAAGTGATGTGTGCGGTTTTATTAAACTATCCACCTCTAGCTGAATACTCTCCACCGCAAGGAGTCTGCTTGACTGAAAAAACAGTGTCTCACTCAAACTCGGACCCTGGTTACCGTCTTTGCATGGTTTATTCCACAAGCTTCACACAACAAGCTTGGCTAGCCCAACTAGCACAGCACCATTTCCTTACCAGGGGCCAGTTTCATGAAGCAGGTTTACCAAAATCTCTGGCTTTTCCATCCTATAACCTGTTTCAGTCACCATAGTAACAGTCTCCCCAGAGCTAACCTGGTCGCCAGCAGGTTTTCTTCATTAAACTCTAGTGAACTCTGTCTCCGCTCTTCTTACAGCCAATCACTTTGTTTTATTTCATGATTTGGTAAAATTTTTGTCGTATTTCTGTGAATAAAATGTATATCATTCACTAGGTCTGTTACACACATTAGGTTTTAAAAACAAACATGGCATATCCGTTTCATGAGGATCATATTAAATAATGATTGGCATTTTTTCACAGAGAATTAAATATTCATAAAGAGAGGATTCTACAACTCAGTTGACAGGACATGAGATTACTTGTTTCTGGTTTGTTCAATATGAGCGAGATGCGGATCGTTTTTATATTTGTTTAGTTATATTCATGAAGAACTACTGAAATTATTCTCAGATTACACAGAAATAGTTTCATTAATTCCGCGGGTGAAATAAATTAGTTTAGGATTAGGATTCAGTCGATGATAACAACCTAATGAGCCTGATAGCCGCCAGGGGTGGGTATTGCCAAAGAAGTCACGATTCGATTTGAATCACGATTCACAGGCCACGATGCGATTCTATCACGATGCATCACGATGCTTGAATTATTGTGATGCATTGCAATATTTTCTCCTCCATGTTTTGTTTTTGAATGACTCGGCACAGTATCCCACGGCTGGAAATGCTTGTGACACAAGGCAGCGTGCGTCAACACATTTGCAGCGACATCTACTGGACTGGAAGTTGTATTACACTTGTTTTTGGCTGATGTTCGCCAACTATTCATGCAATTGTATTTATTTATTTTTTTAAATTAATAATCGATACTTGGCGTCAAGAATCGATGCAGTAGATCACGAAAATTAGAATCACGATGCATCATCATCACGATTATTTTGCACACCCCTAATAGCCGCTGCTAACGGCCATTTATTGGTATAACATCCGTAGCGCGGTATTTAGTATTCACTGTGTAAAATAAGACTATCAAAATGAGGAACAACGTTTTTAGACTTCATTTTCACCTGATTCCAGAAGATTTCACCTAAATAGTTCTTCTACCGTTCAAGAAATTATCCTGTAGTATTATTGTGTATGCTAGTAAAGATACTTAGTCATCTCAATTCCATGAATAGAGTACAGATGGACGCCTGTAACAACTAGCCATAGTAATATGCAGCGATTTAGCTACCGGTATTTCTACATCCAAGGCCAAAAATTCTAGTTGTTTACTGATTGACTGAGAACGAACAATCAAAGAATTAAATCTGGAATTGACATAAACAGCAAACCCCCACCTTTTTCAGCCTATCAGTGCAGTAGACATTATACCCCATAATATGAATGTCTTTATTTGTAATACTCGTAGTAAACCAGGTTTCTGCTATCAAAACAACATCTGCACCTGTTGTTTTCATCTTTGGGCGTAGGCTCCGTACATTAAGATGCACATATTTAAGACCAGGCAGTGATTTGAAATCAGAGGGTTTCTGGGAGCGTTGAAGCTCAGGTCCAGGATTTGGTTGCACATTTCCAGACAATAATAAAAGCAAAACAATCAACAGCCTCTGTTTAGCAATTGATTTACTTTCAATTTTTTGACATGTAAAAGCCCCTCCCTTTAATGGATTAGTGAGATAATTATACAAGGAAAACATAGACTTGAGTTTAGGCAGGTCTCTGGGCAGGTTTATTTCATTTTCCATTTGTACTGGAGGTTGTCCTGGGTGTAGAGAATCCATAGTGCATGTGCTGTTGAATAAAACACTTTACACATTGAGGTGATGGTCTGAGTCCTTTCCATATAGCCAGTGACACCGCTTAGTACTTGGAGCCCATGCAGCAAATAAAAGTAGAAACTTTTGCCGTCATCCACAACAGGAATAAAAAATAGTGAAGAGTACAGACCTGAGTGGAAATGAGACATCAAATTAGCTCCAGCAGAAGGATCGCTGTAGCAGATGGAAGTAGGCCTCAGGGCTGGGTAAGCAGAGCTTTGGGCTCAAAATATCTCTCCTAAGACACAAAACTGTCCTAATCCACAACTTGTTGAAAAAAAAAAAAAGAAATAAAAGCTTTTTATGCTTAAAAGAGTTGGTAAAACTGTCAAATGACAGCAAATTAAACAGACAATAGACAAAGACACCATGCATGCTGCCATCTTGGATTCATGTAAGATGTTTTACTCATATTGTGTCTAAAGAAGACGTGCATTCTGTCATTTTACCATCTTTTTTTAAACCTTTCTCTACTTATTGTCTCTAAGGAGGTGGAGCCAGGGAAGGTTAACTATCTAGCGGATCTAGATGGTGGAGCAATAAGCAATATTTTAGAACCTGTGATTGTAATGTCAGAACTGCAGTGCATGCTGGGAGATATAGTTCCAGTCTGTTTGTATGGAGTTAGATTGAATCAAGAAGGATTAAAGTGAAAAGTCCTTTCTTTAACCTACAATAGAAAGTCTTTCTGCTTTGTTTATCTTTCCAGATCGCCTGCAGGATTATGTTGGAAAGGAGGAGGATTCATCTGACCAGCAGCTCTGTGGACAGGAGAGGAAATTCAGTTTGGATCAAGAGGAACCAGAACCTCTGCAGATAAAAGAAGAGCAGAAAGAACCAGAACATCTCTGGAGAAAAAAGGAAACCATGGAGCTCCCCATAAGTGAGCATGAAGAGCAGCTGGTTCAGGAGACTGAAAATACAGGAGATACGTGTTTGACATATGGAGAAAAGCCTCTTAAAAAAAGAAAAACAATAGATCGCATGAAAACTCACAAAGGTCAGAAGATTTATGAATGTCTGTCTTGTGTAAAAATGTTCACAACGAAATCTAGTCTTGATACACACATCAGAATTCACACTGGTGAGAAGCCTTTTTCCTGCACCATTTGTAACAAGAATTTTAATAACAAGAGTAATTTGACTAGACACGTGAGTTTTCACACAGGTAAGAAACCTTTTGAATGTCCATCCTGTGGGAAAAGCTTCACTCGGAAGTCTGATCTCAATACGCACATGAGAATTCACACAGGTGAGAAACCTTTTTCCTGCACCATTTGTAACAAGAATTTTAATAACAAGAGTAATTTGACTAGACACGTGACTTTTCACACAGGTAAGAAACCTTTTGAATGTCCATCCTGTGGGAAAAGCTTCACTCGGAAGTCTGATCTCAATACGCACATGAGAATTCACACAGGTGAGAAACCTTTTTCCTGCAACATTTGTAACAAGGATTTTACTGACAGGAGTAATTTGACTTCTCACATCAGAATTCACACAGGTGAGAAACCTTTTTCCTGCAACATTTGTAACAAGGATTTTACTGACAGGAGTAATTTGACTTCTCACATCAGAATTCACACAGGTGAGAAACCTTTTG